AATGGCCAATGGGGCCAGTAGTCTTTATGTTCAACTGGCTCTATCGAAATTCTACTGGCCTTGGGCCAGTGTTTAAGTCGACCCCTGCGGCCTCATTTTACAGTGGCAGCATACAGTCCACATATACCTGACCTTCATCCCGGACGGCATATATTGAAGGACCCACGTTTTGTATTTATTGTTAATTTGTTCTCGTCCTAACATGAATATTTGCCTTTGAACGTGAAGCAACCAACAATCAACCAATCAAATGGTGTATGCTATAATTCAGTTTCATAGTTTTAGGTGTGTGTAACTACTCGGTCATTCTCGTTATGCCTACAATCGTAACTACTCGACCATTCTCGATACGTCTACAATCGTAACTACCCGGCTATTCTCGCTACGCCTACAATCGTAACTACCCGGCCATTCTCGATACGCCTACAATAGTTATTTGATAGTTATCAAAGTTTTAGGTGTGTGTAACTCGAGCTCCTAACAATATCTGATATTATTTCTGAATCATTATCAAATAGACCGTTTGCCAATAACCGATTTTATTCTGTTATTACACACTTTATTCACAAATTGCTTCCCTTTGTCTCTATACCGGACAAAATTGGCTTTTACCCACGCAAAACATGATCAATTGAAAATGATATATCGGCGTTTTTAACCAGTTTATAGTAAAAAAAATAACTACTGGTATCAACAGTTTTGAGCGTAACAAAAATATTAATGTACTGAAAAGATTTGAAAAAACGTAAAGCTGGGTTACACACATTATGCACAAATACATTTGCTCTTTCTGCTAGCTCTCTATGGTCAATGAAAATCTATGTCCCTCTTAAGGGTGACAACTAAAAATGGTTCTCTAATCACAGGGTCAATTAAGAGAATTTGCAAAACAGATTTCTACTGTAGCCTGAAGCAGCCGCGATATAGATATTAAGCTAGGTCAGCGTTGAGCAAACTGCCAATCAATTATTATATGATTATTAAACACTGGCTATAAACTGCTATTTTAAAATATTTTTATTACGGTTTGAGTATTTCTCTCGAAACTGAGTGTTAAGGACATATCAACACATAACCGAAAGAGTATCTACAGCCATCGTAACTATTCGGTCATTCTCGCTACGCCTACAATCGTAACTGCCCGGCCATTCTCGATACGCCTACAATAGTTATTGATATAGTTATTGTATGGAGTAGGAATTCGTAGCGAGAATAGCCGAGTAGTTACGATTGTATCTAGAGAACACCTTGCATTACTTGATGATTATTTTTTCCAGAATCAATCTAGTCGTACATTTATACTTCGATGATTCTGCGTTTTTTTCCTTCAAACACATGTTTTTTTTTATCAACATTGTTTTAAACATCATCTTTTTTTTTTGCACTGACTAACATTTTGATTGATTTTGATTTTTTTAATAAAAAAATATATATAATAAAGACTCATTTAATCATAAAATACGCCTTTTACTTTCTGCAATGTACCTATATCATTTGTTTTGATCTACCCAAGTAAAGAGGTGGGGGTGGTTGAGTGCTTGCCAACATAATAAACCCCGCTGCATTCTTTATGTGGGTGCCTCAAATCAAGAATCTGTTATACGTACAGTGGTTGTCGTTGGTTCAGGCCTGTCATATTTCTTTTTCGTAAATGGAATTGTTATAAATAAATTTTCTCGTTTCTTGTTTGAACTGTTTCATAACTTTTTTTATCGAAGCCTTCCAAAGCTGACTATACAGTATGTGTTTTTCTAACTGTTGCAGGTCTTGCGTGGACCAATCGTTGCTTACTTCTACGTCTTTTGAACTCTAATGAATAGATGTTTCCTTGGCAATCATACTACATCTCCTTATTTAAATAATGGCCTTTTTTAAAACAATGACACAAAGACGAAAAAAAAAAAAACAAACACACACACACACATTTTTAAAAACCTTTTTAGCCAAGTCTCTAAATGGTTTATCTACTTTCAAAGATCTTTTTAAATCAAATAATTCTGCCTTCGACGCTAATGTTTGGAAACACACATCTCAGTATGAAGCAGAATATATTCATTAGCTAGTGTTTATTTAACGTTCAGTGGCAAATACATCATGTACATGTATATTCAAGACGAGAAAAATTACACAACAGCATATATATGTTCTGCAAAGTTGGTCTACCAGGATGAAGGGAGGAAACTTTTCACCGTATCTGTAAGAAAAAAAGTAATTTTAAACATGTGAACCCAGTTATCTCTCAGCGAACCACCTGCATTCCCTCAAATGTTACTGGAAGAGAAAGCATGACACTCCTTTGGTAAATGTCCCGATTTCGACCGGAAACATGTCTTCGAATTTATTTATTCCACATACATGTAGCTTATTCATTTACGTCATTTGTTAGCATGGCTTCACAGCCTGATGGGAGAAGTCCAGGTTGTCATATTTTTAAACCAAATTCTATTCATGAGGTATTGAAATAATATGAGAAGAAACAAGCACACACATAGGTTTTCGTCAAAGTAAAGTGAAGTTGAGATACAAAATAAAATCGACAGAATCGAGACTTCATTAGGCATTCGGAATATTAATCGGCAGATCATGACCTCATTCAACCCCATATTACCTCCAGACGTCCGTACTTAATTAGAACCAAATCACTTTTATGAATACTTTTTCAATTGTCGTATTATATTGACAATGTAACCTATTTTGATCTTATTTCTCGCTACTTTATTACTTTTTTTTTAAACAAATTTTTACCACTAGACATTGTTTGTTTTGATGATGTGAGCCAATAATCTAAACATGTCCTTTGTATTTCCCTTATTCAATAATTGTTATGTCGAGTTTATTGTATGATCTTTACGATAAACTGGAATGCTTTCACTGATTCGTGAAATTTACCAATCAATTAAAAATTCAAATCTAAGAAAATCCGTTTGGATCAATTTAGAAATTGGAAACAAGGCAATATATTTCTAAACACGGACGCTGTTGCCTTTGTTGGTAATTTCGTTGTATTACGGAATGCACACTTGACTCACGGGTACATAAATCTCTGTTGTCGTGGAGTAGGTTATAAACCTAGCCGAAACCTCATTGGTAGAGGATGCGATTCCATTATTTGGATGTGCAAACATCCATTTATAGAATTGGTCGTGTAGGATTTCATACTTACTATATAAACGACCTCCAAATAAACAATCCTTCCTGTACACATAAATAGGGAGATGTGAGTTATACGCTGATAGGACAGCAACCCATAAAACACACACAACACTATCTGTTCCCATTATTACCTTAATATCACCACAACCTCTACCTCTTTCGATTACTAGAAACTTATAATTGGACTTACGGAATGTATAGAGTTATTTTCAATCATTTGTTATTCTATGTCGGACCCTTTTTATATTATGCTATCAAACGTTCTATGCTTTTTGCTATTTGTTATTCACGATCGTACCTGTAATGGCGGTTAAACCAGAAACACGCGTTGTACGCTTGGAAACCATATCATCTCATTTGTCTTTTAGATATGAGAGAAGTTTCGAAGGATGCCCCGACAGAGCAATTTACATACGCCTGCATACGGAGTATATATCTCCCAATTGATACGATATTCCCGGGCTTGTGTTTCCTATCATGATTTCCTTGATAGAGGATTGCTGCTCACAAGGAAGCTATTAAACTAAGAGTTCCAAATGGTGAAGTTGAAGTCATCCCTTCGTAAATTTTACGGACGCCATCACGAGTTGGTTGACCGTTATGGAATAACCGTTTCACAGATGATATCGGATATGTTCCTTATGTCGTAAATACAATACCCTCCCTTTTCACGAATGTGACTTACCGAATTAGACTATTTACCGGATGTGTAATAACATAAGCAACACGACGGGTGCCACATGTGGAGCAGGATCTGCTTACCCTTCCGGAGCACCTGAGATCACCCCCAGTTTTTGGTGGGGTTCGTGTTGCTTAGTCTTTGGTTTTCTTTGTTGTGTCATCTGTACTATTATTTGTCTGTTTGTCTTTTTATGTTTGGCCATGGCGTTGTCAGTTTGTTTTCGATCTATGAGTTTGACTGTCCCTCTGGTATCTTTCGTCCCGCTCTTACACAATTTAAGCAAATGGACATCTTTGTTGATTTAGGTAATAGAAATATGGTCTTCCATTGACTCCCTCTATCCGACCATACCATCCTTAGGAAAGAGGGGCGTCCGTCTGGCTGCATAAATAGGGATTTAAGTCCTGTCAGAATATGAACGTATTTTACTAGATGCCTGTGTCAGGGAAAGTGTCAAGCTTTCTGCGACAACTCTTTAGGGGTTCTTCAGAGATATGTTGAAATACGAATGTTATGCCCTATCAAACATACCCTCTTTCCCAATGCCATTAATGATTCTTGCCCTTCATCTCTGTCAACCTACATTGCAAAACGTACATATATGCTATTCGATACCTTTCTTGAATCTGCATGAACTATTTGCCAACGGACGATCACCAAACACCAACCAATTAATCAAACTTGATACTGCCGCTATCTTAACATGAATTTATTTGTAAGGGATAATCCATCTCTGTCTTAGCATACATACATACATAGAATAAAAAATGTTAGATTAATTTCATACGATTTAAATGCAAATCCAATTGCCTTCTCAATTTCTTCTTTTTCTTTTCAAAGATAGCATGAAAAAATATTATGCGATTTTTTCTCCTTTTTAACTTTTCTAAGTACTCTTAAATGTAAATGTAAATTAATAAATTAAATACGGTATAAATTATCATAAAAATGACAGACATAATTGAAACATAGTTAAATAATATCTTTGTAAGTTAATATCAATTTCACGCGGACAATTTTTTGAATGGATTGAAATTTTAACATTCAAAAATCTTTATTGACAGTCTCTTAGGGATGAGATATAGATACATATATTACCTTTTTGTATTTATAGATAGAATGAACGAATGAATAGCGATCAGTTTACCTTTTGATATCGATCAACTTACACACGTTATAGAGCTCTATATATATTATGGAGTTTTTCAAACTAGGGTAAAGTAACGTGCGAGACCAAGAAAAGTGTGTGATTTGCGATACTATCTTACACTTGCTACCGAAAGTATTATACATTCTTAGTTGATTAATGACACAGTACTAATTAATTTTATTCCATTGATATGTGACAGATTTTGGCAAGAATCGACATTGTTTTGATATGCTGAGAGTGAAAAGAGTGTGAAAATGTGTACGCGGACTTGTCTTATAACCTTTTTAGTTTTTGGACTTAACTTTTGGTATGCAGAATGCAACACTACGCAAACATGTCCCCAGAATCTGAACCCTGCTTCTGGAAAAACTGGGTAAGTTTGTTTTTTATTTCCTATTGTTTTGACAGCTCGCTGGAGTTTTTACAAGGCAATTTTTAATACGTAGTAGATCAGATTCATTTAAATAAAAAATCAAGTTTTGCAAATTTCTTTCAGTAAGTTATTACAACAGATGTTAGCTAAATTTTGACTTCTTGAATTGAAACTTTTGTTTGTCTATAATTTTCTTTTTTGAACAACATGTGTACTTGTACAAAACTTTCTCTATTTGACGTCTGTCTAATTTCATGCATGGTGGGTATAGGTATAGATTTATAATTTTATTCATTAATATGTCGTTTTCTCTTTTCTTTTTCCTATATTTGAATTCATACCTTAAAGCAATAATACAATTGAATTAAATATATAAACAAAATGAACAATATCACCATTAGAACAAGTCTTTTCACCTGTGATTTCAATGCATTTTTTTACTATGCACTGTTAAGATAAAGTCTAGAACTATCTTAAAAAGATATCCGACGCCTTAAAATGGGAACAAAATTATGTTTAAAACTTTTTTTTTTGGGGGGGGGGGGGGGGGGGGGGGGGGGTATTATATTTATTTGACCAAAATTGTACACATTTTGCTATTTTGCTTGCGGTTAATAGAATGAATTGATTGTGTTTTGCTGAACGTCCAGCGACAAATATTTCAGGCATTTTATGGATGAACACAATTTAACAATACATACAATAAAGAAGTTCTACAATGTATGTAGCCTTGAGAGATTTAGACATCTTTAATATAATAAACAGTCAACCCTTAATAAATAGAAATCGGGTCTTCCATGGACTCTTTCCTTCCAACAGTAAATTACTTGTTCAAGAGGGGCGTCCATTTGGCTGCATAAATAATTTTTACATTTCTCCAAGGGTTGACTAAGGTATTGGATTATGGTCACCTGGCTTTCTTTCTGAGTACTTTCAATAGCAATAAGACCATTAAAAAAGGGGGGCGTTCATTTGACTGTACGGAAGGTATTCACTATCTAACTATGACGTTTGTTTTAATTCCACGTTCTTGGAGAATGCAATGCTTTCTGTGGGTCATTGAACTCCTGACACACGTATTTGAAGGGTCCGTAGATGACCTACAGACCTTTCTGTCACCCATGTACCTAGCTACATCCACTATCAGAACGTACCTATGTGTTATATTCTTTACTTTGTACTCGTCCTGAATGTGCGTGACTTGTTTGATATCTTACGTTAAGCAAACACAAGTTTATCAATCTATCTTTTTAACTATCAACTTTATTTGTTTTCCTCTGATTAAAAACCTGAAGGTATTGAAATAGATAAAACAATTGCACTCAAATTGCCCAAAAACCTTGACACAGCAGTAAAACTAAAGGATTGCAGTGTTCACCATTTAAAAATATCACAAAATTATAGGCAACTCTTACCCATAAATGACAATATGCATTCAGTATTTCTCGCATAAGATATTTACGTCCATACTAGTATAGTCTATCGCAAATGTTTAGTGCCGTTGGAACAAAAGTCCCCCCTCCCCACATATAGAACATTAAATATAAAAGCTGCACTAATTCGAACGAAGTTAGTATTGATTAATTTATTCTTGTTTGTGTCCGCTGTCAAATTATTATCTCTATTCAGGACGACTGCATGGTGAACTTATTAAAATGATTGCTTCTAATATTTATAATTTATACAAAAACTTCCTTTGTCAAAGTCGACATACATTATAGATTCGTGTGCATTAAAGAGCTTCCTAATGGGGTTTCTGATTATGTGATTACTTGGCCATTTTTAAATTGATTATTTGATTACCAGACCAAGAATTTCATGATTATTTGATTATTTGAAAATCTAGGACTGTATTTTTGATTATTTGATTATTTTGTTTAAAAAAAAATAATTAATGATTATGTGATTATATTGGCAAAAAAAAAATGTGATTATGTAATTACTTGGACACCCCCATGAGGGGCCTCATCAAATTTCCTGTTTTACTTTCACGTTTGCAATTGTTTCCTGCATATTGTGTTGCAGAATATTCTTTTTCATCTTGTATTTATTTCCTGCTCTTACCTGGCCAGGATATTCTTTTTCATCTTGTATTTATTTCCTGCTCTTACCTGGCCAGGATATTCTTTTTCAAAATCCTCCCCCAGAAAATCAAATGGTCGACTCCGAAATGGAATTTATTGTAAATGATATATTTTCTTTCACGACATATTTCTATTTTCCGATCACATATAACGTTTGTTACAACAAAAACCATTTAGACAAGGTATTGAAGTAGAAAATATCATAAAGAATCATTCAGCAAACTACATAATAAAAGTCATCAGCGATATACAGATCGTAAAATAATGGTCATCTCTCAGCTTCAGGATGCGAAATAAATAGTTCCTAATTTGGCTAATATGGCGGAGCTGTATGTAAGTTGTCCTTCGGTTTTTAATATTGGTTATACTGTTCAATGCTTGGAACTGAATCGGAGTGTAAAATATGACAATACCTCATTAAAATAGGGTATACATATGCTTTAATTTGTATCAAACGGTGATAAGATAACATGTAAGATTCATATTATATTGAAGGAGTATTGTTTTCGTAAAAGTCCGGTATTTCCGTTTATCCAAGGGCTTTTCGGTTTTCTTTTGAGTGTTGAACATGCATGAATATGGCAGCTACTCACATTCAGAACTATAAATGTACTAGAAAAGGGTAGCTATAATTACAGTTAAGAACGTAACCGCATCACCCCTGCCCCCCCCCCCCCCCCCCCCCCCCCCACAACAAAACTAATACAGTCGATGTTTAAAATTGCACGCATAATAGACAATATTTCACCCAAAAGTATAATAGTTGTTTTCTGATGCTTATCTTTTAATGAAAACGAATCAAACAGATATGCAGTACATGTGGACCGGAAGTTAAACCAAACGTAAAGGACAATGAGACGAAATCAAGGACATTTTCCTACAGTTCCGGTCCTCCTTGGCCAATCAGATACTAGAAAAAGAAAACATATTGTCTTCCTGTGGGACCCTTCAATAATGGATTTATTTTATGTTCCCCAACACCAATATCATACCTGTGTATACAATTTATACGTATACTTGATAGGACGAGTAAATTCAAGCTTATTTGCCAATATCTAAACACAAGTATGCAATGAAAAATGAACCCAACCTTGTCAGAATAATTGTTGCATTGGCTTATGTCAGAACAGACGAAGGTTTCTAACTAAGTCCGATCACAATCGATGTACAATTCATTATTTTTTTTGGTTAGAATCTTAGATTTGATCAACACACTCAAATGTGAAATTTGATTTATGTATTTTTCTTTTTAGCCATGGCGTTGTCAGTTTATTTTCTACTTGTGAGTGTGGATGTCCCTTTGGTATCCTTCGCCTCTTTTGAAGAAAAAAAAATTGTGTTACAATAATTATGTTCTTTTGTTGAGGTGTTAGATGGGTGGAAGGTTTACTTGTGATGATAAGAATGCATTTACATACAGCCTTCATGTACTTGGTGATAATGTTCTTCACAAAATAACGGGAAAAAACAAAACAAAAAAACATGTAATATAGAAATAAGAAGATGTGGTATGAGTGCCAATGAGACAACTCTCCATCCAAGTCTCAATGTTTAAACAGAAAACAATTATAGGTCAAAGTACGGCCTTTAACACGGAGCCTTGGCTCATACCGAACAGCAAGCTATATATAAAGGGTCCCAAAATGAAAAGTGTAAAACAATTCAAACAGGAAAACCAACGGTCTCATCTATATAAAAAACGAGAAACGAGAAACACTTATGAACCACAACAACAAACGACAACCACTGAAACAGGTTCCTGACTTAAGACAGGTGCAAACAATAACCCGTTACTTGATTTGGCAATCATTTTTACTATAACGGAGTACCTATCATCTCTCATCATCTTGGGGCCTCGGTGGCCGAGTGGCCGAAGTAGTTACTACTGTAATCACTAGCCAGTCAACACCGAGGTTGTGAGTTCGAACCCCGCTCGTGCGGGTGCACTCGACTCCAATCTTAATTGACTAGGATTGTCAGTTTTCCTATCGAAGGTCGGTGGTTTTCTCCGGGCACTCCGGCTTCCTCCACCAATAAAAACTGGCCGCCACGAAATAGCCCAAAAGCGGTGCTTAAAAGTGGCGTTAAAACACCAGTTGTTCACATTAACCAGAGTTTTATATTTCAGTGTTCACTAATTGTAATTACCAAAACATTTATGTCATCTGTTGCAGTATTTTGTGTTTTGTTTCAACCTACATATTACGGAAGCGATTGCATCTTTTTTACCTGGAGTACTTACTTGCTAGTCTTGACCGTTAATATTTTCAAAGCCATGTATCCCCAGATTTTAATACGAATCCAAATGATCGAAAGTAGTTCTTGTGTATACGAAAAGCGTGTCTAGTGTAATGTATCCCCAGATTATAAAACTTGTACGAATCAAAGTGATTGAAAGTAGTTCTTGTGTATACGAGACGCGTGTCTAGTGCCATGCATTAAAATATTGGTATCTTTAATGATTTTTTTTTATGATTTGATATTTGTTTAAGATCTGACAGAAACCCAAAGCATACATGTATCAAAGGCTTTTTTATCATGTTAATTCCCTGAAGAAAACAAATTTTAATGCTTTCAAAAAAATATTTTGTAAAATGCTTCAAACTTATTTACAAGTGTCCGTATTTCTATATATGTAAAATAAAATTGAGAATGGAAATGAAGAATGTGTCAAAGAGACAACAACCCGACCAAAGAGCAGAAAACAGCCGAAGGCCACCAATGGGTCTTCAACACAGCGGGAAAATCCCGCACCCGGAGGCGTGCTTCAGCTGGCCCCTAAACAAAAATGTGTACTAGTTCAGTAATAATGGACGTCAAAACATATAAATGAACTAAAATTAAAAATCATACAAGACTAACAAAGGCCAGAGGCTCCTGACTTGGGACAGGCGCAAAAATGCGGCGGTGTTAAAC